GGGGGCAGGGGCAGGGCGGCGCCGGGGGCCGCGGCCGAGTTAAAGGCCGCCGGCGCCGCCCGCGGGTCGCTCTTGTGCAAGCGCCGCGGAGGGGCCCGGGCGCTGCCCGCGGGGTTACGAAAGCGCGGCCCGGCCCGGGCGCCCTATATAAGGCGGCGCCGCCCGCAGCCCCCGGGCTCTGCGCTGCTGTAAGAGGCGCCCTCGGCCCCGCGGGACGGGCTGCTGCTGCGGGACCTGCCGCGGGGCTCACGGCTTTGCTTGCTGTCGCTGCAGGTCGAGATGGCCGGGGCGAGGACGGCGCTGGCCGGGCTTCCGCTGCTGCTGCTGCTGCTGCTGGTGCTGCCCCGCGGGGGCCGAGCCGAGCGGGACTGCAGAGTGAGCGGCTTCAGGGTCCAGGACAACTTCGACAAGGCTCGCGTAGGTGCCGCCGCCTCCCCGGCCCTCCCAGCTAGACCCAGAGCCTCAGACCTAGCCTAAGTCGGACACTTCCACGTTTCTGGATCCAGGCTCTGGGGTGGTGCAAAAAACCTGTTTGGGCCTTGGGCTCCTGGCACCTTCGGGCTCCAAACAGTAAACTCTAAGCAGCAGAGGAGGGAGCGTAGCTGTCCCAGGGATCTCTTCGAAGGAAAAGGACCTCGCCCATCGTAGGCTGATAGCACTGGAGGAAGCCGCGTCCAGTGCCTAGGTTGTCCCCAGCCACTAAATGATGTGGTCTGAAGGGTGACATATTCCAGCTGTTCTCAGTTCATCAAAATCACTAGATCCTGCTGCAAACTGGCCTGAGAAAACCCAGACTCATCAGTGGGTCTTTTAGGATCCTTCTAGTATTAAATATCAAAGTAAATGCTTCTATTAGTTAAGGGGAGAAATAAAGTTGTTCCTGTTTCATCATTACAAAGGACTGGCTCGCAACTAACTGAATCTAGTAAGAGCCAGACAGCAGATCCAGGTTTTTGTGGTGCCTGTGCTCCAGGATGCGTTGATGTTGTTGTACTGTAGGACCAGCTGGACTTGTTCTCTGTTTGGAGGGTACAGTTGAACACCAAGGGTATAAACAGATGTTATCTTTGGAGCAGGATTGTCTGTGGTGGGACGTGTCCCGGCAGTTGTTCTGCTTCATTAGTGTTTACAGACCTTGTCTGGGGCTATTTCATTAGTTTTTACAGACATCACCTGGGGCCATTATGCTGCTGTGTTGGGTCCGTGCCCCAGTCAGGGTTCCCTCGCTTGCAGACCTGTGCCTAGGTTGGGGGCTGGCAGTGCCCTGACACGTGCCCGGAGTTGGGGGGAGGCAGCCTGATGCAGGCACCATGGGAATCCCCTGAAGGGGAATTGCTGGGTGTGCTTAATAAGCAAATAGATGTCCTCCCCTATAAGGCATCACAGACTAGAACTACCTTCAGTCATAACAGCATATTTGGGCACCAAGTGCCCAAATATGCAAGGGGCTAGGATGTCTGCTTGCTTGCAACTTGTGATTGTAATTTTTTGTTTATGGTGGACAATATCTGTGTGCAACCCTTAGGGTCAGAGATCAGAGATCCTGCATAATCCACAGAAATCCATCTTTTACCTGCTTCCCATGCTCACCAGGCCTCACCAGAACCTCTCTCCTTTCCCTGTAGTACAGCGGCATCTGGTACGCCGTGGCCAAGAAAGACCCTGAAGGGCTGTTTCTGCAAGATAATGTGGTAGCCGAGTTTGCTGTAGATGAGTACGGGCAGATGAGCGCGACTGCAAAGGGCAGAGTCCGACTTTTCAAGTCAGTTCCCTGGCATCCTCCCTTTTCTTTCCTTTCTACCTCTCTCTCTCCCTGTGCTTGCGGGTTGCTCTCCTCTCTGAGACCATGTGTTCATTATCAAAGGAACCCAAGTCTAGGCTGTCACATTTGAATTGATCATATTTTTGTTTCTTCCTGGCTTCAGTAACTGGGATGTATGTGCTGACATGATTGGTTCTTTCACTGACACTGAAGATCCTGCTAAATTCAAGATGAAATACTGGGGAGTGGCTGCATACCTCCAGAGGGGAAGTGAGTATTCACTTGGTGCATGTTTTTACCATAAAAGACCCAGAACTGCTTAACAGACCTTGTTACTTTGTTTCCACGCTAAGGAAAAGGTTTGTTTTCTTGTCTGTCTTTTACTAAATGGTAACAATCAGATGGTGAAATCCTAGGGTGGACAAGGCATGTGTTAGTTGACTGAAGCTTTTTTTCTGAGTGAAAGCAAGACTTTGTTCACCAAACATCATTTATTTTCCTTCTTTATCTAGTAATGTTAAGGCACAGACAGAAGTGACAAATTTCACTCAATCTGGCCCCAGAAAGTGGTCTACATCCATGACCTAACACGAGTGCATGGCTGCAGAGCACTTTAAAAAGGCCTGATCCTGCAATAATCTGAACCAAAGTGGAGCACCTTAACTAACTTGTGTCTGTGTGTGCTGGGCACAGGCCTGGGCTGCGTCAGCCCAGGCCTGCTCCCACTGCTGTTTTCAGAATGGGAGGTGGGAGAGGGAGCAGAGGGAGCTCATTCTGAGGGTTGCCCAGCCAGCACTAGAGAAGCACACCCCTGATGTGAGGGTGGGGCTCCAGTTCACCCCCCCAAACCAGCGCATGTTGGGGAAACCCCAAAATGGACCTTCCTCACTTGTCTTTTCCCCCTCCCATGCTGAGACTACTGGTGGCTGGGAGAGGTGGGACAGAGCTAGGGGAAGAGGCTGCAGAGATGCAGCTTCTGTCTGTGGATCAGCTTAAAAAAGCTGACATCTGTTGGGTCAGGAGGATTGGTCTAACTCATGGTGCTTTCTATAAAGCATCATGAATTAGACTGGAGACCTGCATTTCTGTTTGCCTTTAGACTAGGGTTGCTATGGGCCAGATTCAGATGAGTAGATTAGGCTCTTAAATGAGATTTAAGCAGAATTTAGGATTTTGATTCACAGAGTGATCCAGATCAACTCCACTGCAGCAGCAGCAAAACCACTTAGGCACCTAAATTTACTTGGCCTGGAAAGCTCCCTAGATACTGAAACTTGGATGTTTGTGAAGTTCAAAAGCAGTCTAGCTTGAGCTTCTGGGCACCTCGTTTCTGCCTAAACACTGCTCCAGTCTCATTCAGAGCTAGCGAGGTACCAAAACCCTACAGAAATCCCACAGAGGCTTGATCTGCTAGGTGCATACAGAGCACCTAACTCACATTGGCAACAATGAGTTTGGTATAAAGCAGAGCAGCTGTGGTGACTCTTACTCGAAAACATGGCAGGGTGATAGTGGCCACCTTTTGCATAATAGCTTTATGGGTAGGGCAATCACGCAGGAAGTGGGTTCTCAGTGCTTGGGTTCTAGGCCGCCTTGAGTCTGAAGAGATTCAACCCTGTATCTCCCATGTCCAGGGGTGGATCCAGACTCCTCCCTGCCCCCCCCCCAAGAGTAGACCATGCTGCAGGAGCTTCTGGGGGCTTCTTTAAAGCTCCCAAAGCATGTAAGGATTTCCCCCCTTTCCCATTGTGCTCACAAGAGTGTCCCTTCCCCCCCACTTTCCCCATTCCCTCCACCTGTCACTGTTGCTTTCCCTGTAGTTCCAGGGTTGGGGAATGCTTCAAAACTGCTCCGTTCTGTTCTAGCTGCATGGGAGTTGGGAATAGCGGCAGCAGCAGCGGCAGCAGGGAATGGGTGGTGGGGTGGGTTCCCCCTCCCCATGTCAGCTCCCAGGGGACTGGGAAGGTGAGAAAATCCACTACCCACCCACTGCAGCTGCTGCTCCTGTTGTTGCTGTTCTCAGCTGAGCCCAGTCCCCAGGCTGCCTGGTTGGAGTGGGCCGGTATGGCTTTGAAGCTTCCCCTATCCCCTGGACAGCGGAGAAAGCGGCAGTGGTAGGTGGGGAGGGGGATGTGGCTTTGAGCATGGAGGGGAGGGGAAGAGAATTCTCTGCTGCTTTGGGGACTTAATTCAGGAGGCTCCCACAGTGCAGTCTGCCTGTACCAGTGGATTGTAGGGGGAAGAGTGGCTGCTGGGAGTGGGGATGTAGCCACCCCTGCAGCATGAGTGACTGCTCCCTCACCCCCCATGCCAGTCCTGGATCTACCCTTGCCTGTGTCTCACGTAAGTGCCTTAATTACAAAGGCATAGATGTGGCTAGGTGGGGGCACCTTTTAACCTTCATGTTGAAACTGGGTCACTGAGTCAGGAATGAAAGTCAGAGGGTCAGATGGAGAACAAATGAGTCCACTGATGAAGATGCTCCCCTGGAAAGGTAAGTTGTGGGCTCTGGTTCTTGCTGTCACACTTAGGGTTTAGTAGCAACACATTTCTTCCAGTGTAGCGTGAATTCATACTAGTGTAAATGTGGAGCGGATACACAATGTACAGCTATATACTGGTGTCAGTTACTCCACTCCAGAGTAAGTAAAGGAGGAAAGTTAGGAGTAATGATATACTGTATTTATTCCAATCCAAGATGCAGCTTTTGCCCCCAGTTAACACAAGAAGGAACCTAACCTTAGATTCAAGTACTAACCCAGGACAGGCAGCAGCTCAGCAATGGTTTCAACCCTAGCCCAGAGCCAGTCAGGACTGAGCTGCTGCCTACCTCAGGCTGCACGGGCTAGTGTGGTGGGGGAGGGGGCTCTCAGCAAGGGGAACATGGGGGAGATGATGTGGTGGGGGTGGGAGATGCACAGGAGAGACTGCATAGTGGGGGGGATGAATTGGGGGAGCCACAGCATGCAGCTTGGGGGGAGCACAGGTGAGACTGTGGAGCCTGGTCCCAACTCATCCTGTCTGCCATGCTGCTTACCTTTGCTCTGGCTCTGGTTTTTCAGTTCAGATTCTATCACTTCTTACCAAGTGTTTCAGTTTAAGACTTGGGCCAAGCCCATCCCTATACATTTTTTTCAGTAGCTTGGTACATAAATTAAGCTATCTTGTCAGAACTATTCTCTTCTTCATGTCCTTTGAACATACATTAACCAATGACTTCTCTGTCACTAGTAGCAGGGCACTGGCAGTACCCTTTGTCTCTGCTTTTTCACCACTAGCATGCTGTAAGGTGTTGGTAATGTTGGCCTGTAAATGCAGGCCATACTTCTGTTTTCCTTATAATTGCTTTAAATCAGTGATGTGCACACACCCAATGCTGATTGATGAAGCACTGCAGTATTAATTTTCTTTTGATCAGCTCCTCCACGAGCTGTGGAATGATTACAATCAGGTTATTTCAAATGCCAGGATGCTATTTCATATAAAACAATGAACAGTCTGAGGTGCTCTGGGTTAGTATACAAGGCAGTCGAGGGGAAAGAGACTTAACAGTGGGGGTCTACTACAGACCACCCAACCAAGGGGAACAGCTAGAGCAGGAATTCTTAAGTCAGCTCACAGAGGTAGGTAGGTCAAAGGACGTGGTCATCGGGGTGACCTGAACTTTCCAGACATCTGCTGGGAAGAGCAGTCATCCAGGTCTGACTGCTCACATAGGTTCCTAGCCAGAATGCAGGACCTCCATGTAACCCAGGAGGTGCACAACCCCACCAGGGGAGACACCTTGTTGGACCTGGTGCTGGCCACCGGCGATGACCTGGTGAAGTGGCTGCAGGTGCTCGACCTCGTGGGCGACAGTGATCATCACCTTTGCTCTGGCTCAGGTTTTAGAGGGTCAGGTGGTATGAGGGATGTGGCAGGGGGGCATTTAGCAGGGTAGGCAAGGAGCAAGTGGCACTGGGGCACAGTGGGGGGAAAAGGGAGAACAGACAGGAAACACAAGGGGCAGGGTGGCTTTCCCCATCACAGCTGTTCGGGGATGAATTTAAGACAACTCCAGGTTCTAAGCATGGAAAACTATAAAAAATGTACACATTTTCCACGTCTAGAAGCTAATTATGGGGGTTGCCTTGGATTTGGGTAACTATTGCATGGGTTGTGTAGCTGCAGCACTAATCAGTTCCATTCTGGGTTTTTGCTCAGTTGCAAACATGCTATTACCAGCGTTCCCACCACCTAGTGTCAAGTCATTTAATAGCACCTACCACAGATAGCTACCTCCAGAGCGCCAGTTGTTTCTCTACTAGAAACACTGGTGTAATTTACACTAGCATGCACACTGATGTGAGATGCGCTGGTCTAAATGTGTCGTGTCTGTGACTGACTTATGTAAAATGCATACGCAGTCCTGAGAGCAGGGGCTGGATGTTAAACGGCTGAGAACCACCTGAAATTCTAACTGTGGAATAGGGAATATGGTTTCTATATTTTTTTCTTTTTGGACATAGTTAGCAAGGTCACTTCTAATAAGTACATGTGGTAACTGGATGATAACTTTCTTCCATGCTGAAGAAAAGCTGAAAATATTTCTGTGGTAGGAAAACAGAACTGTCCAGAAGCAATGTGACTAGGAGATCCTTGTGTAATCTGGTGCATGACCACTGGGAGTGCATACATTTCTTTCAGTTTTTTCCTGTCGTTGACCTTTTAAAACTTTTTTTTGTTTAAATGAGCATCGCTATAAATAGACAAAACAGCCACAAAATAGGAACCATTATACAAGAATATTTGCTATGAATGACAAAGGAAGCTCTCAATTTTTTACTATAATTTTCTGTCTAACGCCCTGAGTGATATTAATACTTCACTAAATCAGCCTTATTGTCTTAGTTGTGAAATAATGATTTTTTTCCCCCTGTGTTGTACTCGTATTGCCAAACTGACAGCTTACTCATGGGAAGCATTTTTTTGGAGGAAAGGGATGTCCCTTTGTCCTGGATCAGTCAGCTTGCCACAGAATCTGACCTTTCAGCTTCTGTAGGCTTGTATTGTCTGAAAGACTGTTGATTTATTCTGTCTGATATGGGCTGTAATGCTGGCCTTTGAATTTCTCTTTCAGTACTGATGATGCTTGTTTCCTAAGTATGGTGTTGTCTAAGCCTGTCCCATTTCCAAAGGGTGGAAATATGCTGGCACTATTTATGCGGCATTTGGAATGATGCTGAGCACTGTTGACGTGTAGGGGGTGCACACGCACCCCCTGAGTGTGGCAGTGCACCCCCTATGAAAAGGTGCCACAACACTGTTGGTGGTGCCTGTGGGTAGTTGCTGCTTACCACCCCCATGCCGCCACCACGATTGCCACTGACTGCGGTTGATGCTGCCAGCAGCATCTGCAGGTGGTTGCTGACTCCTGGTCAGTGCTTGCCACCCCGACCCCCTCCCCGCCTTTGCCACCAGCACCGGTGGTGTCTGCAGGAGCTCCATGCTTACCGCTGCCATGCTCCCACTGCTGCCATGCCCCCCCAGCCACCGGGGGCACACGTCATTCATGATGCTGAGGGCCTCCATCGGTGTGTCTTTACTGCACAGTAGACTACTTTTACTAAGCAATAAAGCATTACCGTCTACACGTGTGCAGCAATTGAGCCAGTGTAGACTAATTTACAGCACTGTCAGATAATCCCATCAGACACAGGTACTATCCAACGGTGAAGCAAATAACTTCACTGTCTACATATGCCTTTAAAGTGAAGCAAGGATTAGTTTACTTTGGCTCAAATTGCACAGGAGGTTAGTTAGTTGCATTGGGCTCCTATAGATGTGCAGGGAGCCTGCTCTAGTGCACTGGAAATCCAGCACAATTAATTGAGTCTGCTGGCAGATGGAAATGGACACACTCCGGCGGCGTTCCACATCGCATGTATCAGCGTGCCTGTGCGTCCCCGCACTGACAAAATGGTGGTGGTGCACTTTGAAATAAAACACGTTTGATGAGCTCTAGTTCAAAGCGCCCCACCGCCATTTTTTTCCGTGCAGGGACACTGATACACATGAAGGACGGGCACTTTTAATTAGCACAGCTTGCTAATGAAAGCACCTGGCACTGTGTCCCAAGACGCATATAAAAATGCCTGTTAATTTCATATGTAGACATGCCCTGTGAATCCTAATGTAGCTGGCAGGTTCAACTGAATATCGGTCAATCAGGAATACTTTTTAGAGGGTCTCTATGATTCTAAGATGATTCTTTGCCCTAAATGACAGCGTCACACCTGTCTAACAAAACAAGTCCATGAGCAAATGCCTTTTCAGAGTGCACAGCTCCTTTGTCCAATTCACTCTTGCTCATTTATTCCCTCTCAGTGACTAAATATGTCCCAAAACTTGTTTTTGTTAAAAGTCCATGTTCTGATCCCAAGATGAGGAGATACTGCAACTCTTTATTATTCAGGTGAGAATTGTGGGTGTTCTATGCCTTACAGCAGTGATTCTCTGAGATCCTTTCAAGGGTGCTGCAGGGTATCATGAAATGTTGCACTGTTAGGTTTGCAAAGATGATTCACAAGATAAACCCAGAGTTTTTTAATAAGAGTCCACAAAGTTAAAAACATGCTGACCTTCTGTGGTTTTTCTACAACAGGAGAATTACTCTATTTTTCTGAAGTTAAAAAAAATGAATGAAAGTTAACAGCTGGTATTTTCTGAGGAGTGCCTTGAATTAAAAAAAAGGTTGAGAACCACGGACTTTCAGGATTGTTCCCACTGTGAAATACTTTTTATCGTTAGTACTGAACTGTATGATATTCTAGAATCTTTAATGCTGCATTTTCTATAAGTGAAGATGTCCTTCTATCCGCGTAACTTCTTTGCTCTTTCTCTGTATTGACTTGCAGATGATGACCACTGGATAGTGGACACAGATTATGACACTTATGCAATTCACTACTCCTGCCGGGAACTAAATGATGACGGTACCTGTGCTGATAGCTACTCATTCGTGTTCTCCCGGGACATTAATGGATTATCCCCAGAGGCGCAGAGAATTGTCAGGCAGAGGCAAGTTGAGCTCTGCTTGGACAGAAAATATAGACTTATTGTTCATAACGGTAAGTTTTTCCTTCTTACAGGAATTTTATTTGAGGGGAGGTGATGACTGCTGCTAGGAAACTCCTCTGTTATATATATATGGAGATTGTAGGAAGCACAACATTTAGAACCTGCAATATTATCTGCTTTACCTAGTAAAAACTCCAGGTCTTGGATATACCGATTTCTCCTTTCCTTCCGTCCAGCTAAAGGAGAGCTGCAGGTACAGCTTCCATAGTAGCCTATCACATGAATTGATACAATACCTAAAGAGAGAGTTGTGAAACCCCTAAATTAATATGGCAGAGAACAGTGATCACAACTACTTTAAAGGAATATTACCCTGTTTACCTGAATACTAGATACCCTGAATGTAAGACGACCTCCCAATAATTAAATTCTACACATGGACAATGGATAAATGTATTACAGTTTTCCATGTATGGATTCTGATTATTTAAGAATCATCTTAAGTTCATACCCTCCCCCCACTACTGCAAGTGTTGAAGGAGAGGTGATGAGGGGGGCAGTAATGGGGCTGCAGGTGGGGGACAGACAGTGAGGGAGGCAGTGGGGGGGCATGAAATGCAGCAGGCCGGGGGGGAGTAATGAGGCAAGCAGTGGAGGGGTGGGAGGAAGGTGGGAGGGGACAAACAGTGGGGCAGTCAGTGAAAGGCAGGCAGTTTGGCCCCTGCTGCCTCTCGCCATACCCCACTTACCCCCCATAGTGCATGCTCTTGCCCTCAGCCTCAGGCTATCTTGATTTCCCCCTTCCCATTCTCCCTACCCGCCCCTCCCCACCTTCCTTCACCCCTTCCCCTTACCTTTGTTCCATGTTGGCAGGCTCCATCTCTGCTGCAGCCTGGAGCACGAAGCATGGCTCCAGCCCACCCCCATAGCAGTGGTGCAGAGCTGGCACTGCAGTTCCAGCCCAGCCCAGCCCAGCCTGGAGTCATGCTCCCAGCCAGGCTGCAGCAGGGACGGAGCCTGCCAGTGGGGAGAAAAAGTATGGAGGAGGGTGGCAGATCAGGGGAGAGAGGAAATGGTGGGGGGAGGGGGAATGGCCGGGTGTGCAGAGGTGGTTTGTGGGGAAGAGGCAGGCAGCTGCTGTGGCTTCAGCACCAGCTTTAGCCCCAACTCTGGGTTGGGGATGGAGCCACAGCAGCTGCCTGTCCCCTGCATCCTTGTGCCCGATTTTAAGGTGAGGGGCTTTTTCCACCACCTGTTAAAAGGGGAAGAAAAAATGGTCTTCTGATGGAGTAAATCCAGTATGTGTCTCTAATCTACTTGAATTTCTCAAGTATGTCAGTGATACAGGAGAGAATGGAGAACTTTTAGATACTTTGAGACTTTAAAAAGCCTTTGGGAATTTTCCTAGGAGGTCATTAAGGGAATTAAGACAATGTCTGCACAGTAAATTTATCATGCATGGAAGCATCACTCTCAGGAATGCTGTGCTGCTTCAGGTGTATTGCCTCTATCAGTAGCAGCATAGCTACATCTGTTCGGTATTTTGGGGGTGCTAATTAGCAATATTGAGCAACTATTCCAGTCAGGTACCATTATGCTCATTATTTTTCCCTCCTCCCTTCCCTGTTCTACCTTTTTGTTTTCCTAATTTCTATCTATTTACAGTCTCACTGTCATCCTGTCACTTTTATCTTCTCTCATTCCTTTGAGTCTCAGAACAGCAGAGACTCCCTGTGCCTGAAGAAGGGTGACTGTGTCCAAAAGCTTGCCAAGAACTCTTTTCCAACTGTTCGGTTGGTCTAATAAAAGATATCACATCTACTCAAAGAACCTTGCCTGCCTTATGCTCATTAGTCTGTCCAGAAGCACCATGTGGAAACAATGACACTGCTTCTGGTTTAGGAGGCTCTTGTGTGGAACAGCACAGCAGTTTAGATAGTGCCACTGTTGAGCACAGTTAGTTTACACTGTAGAAATTTCAAATTAATAGGACATCTTACAGGTGAAATGGGCAAGGGTATTTCCAATGACAAGTTTTAAATTAAAAATAGTTTATATCTTGCTAAAGTAAATGTATCCTGGGAGAGCATAAACCAAGAGCCAGCATGTTCTTTGCCACAGACTGAATTGTGTGGTCCTAACTTAAGTTGAAATTCTTCTGGAATTGTGTGGCAGATGTACAAAACAGAATAACATTACTAATAATAAACAGGGACCTACCTAAATTGCAGTGGAAATTCATGGCGCAGTGGCACCTTTAATATCACTCTTCTCGCTGCACACCCCTCCGCCCCCCTGTTGAGTGGCAGTAAATGCTGTGGGTTTTGCCTCTCAGCAGCACAGGAGGGTGTGCAGCAAAAAGAGTGAGATTCAAGGCGGTGCTGCACTGCAGACTTCTGCCACAAATTAGGTAGGTCCCTAATAATAGACTGATATTATTACTTATTATTGAAATTTGAAAAGAAATAAGTATATATCAGTACATGCGTGCATGCTTTTTAACTTTCTAGTGCTGCTCATGAAATATATTAACTTAATTTTGTTTTGTTTCAGGATACTGCTCTTAAGGAGATCCTAAAGTATTGGGAGCAAAGTATGTAACAGCAGTATGGATAAAAAGTTTACCATCCAAGTGTTAAATCTTTTAAGCAACTTTCCAATTTTGAATATATTTATCTGAGTTCTGCAGTTCACCTTGTCAATAAGCAGTGAAACCTTTTAATAAACTTGAATTACAGGGAGTACATATTGTCTGGAGTGCAAATTTGTACATATGTGGATGATAGTTTTACGGGCAAAACACTATTATAGTACAACAGTTAAAATTAGGAATTTGAATTGTATTGTATTGTATTAATCTTTTAATTTTGTTATTGATTTTGAATTTTTTTTTTTACTAAGAGCCCTGTAGACAAATTACAAAAAAATCTGCTAGTTATTAAAATGTCTTAAATTTTCTTGAAATAACTTCTGCTTCCTTTATTGGACTGACGGGAAAGCATAATAATATTTAAAGAAAAAAGGATGTTTATTAATCACATCACAAAGTAGCTTTGTTAGATTTCTGTTGGACTGACACAGAAATACATCTTTTGTAAAGAACCGATTGTTATAACTATAAAAAAAAGTAAACATTTCTGTCTGCTGTAACTTTATTTATGGGATCTAGTAAAATAGTCCCTGAGTTTAAGTAACACCAAGGGTCACATTTCCAAACTTGGGATGCCAGCAAAGATCTTGAACTCCGAAAATCCACATTTGAATATTAAGATTAGAATTTGCTGCAAAAAACAGAAGTAGTCTACACAAACTTATGTTCAGGTATACACACATTAGTTTGTGCACGAAAATGTACATAAACTTTCTTTTTGCTGTTTAGGATACTATGAATCCATGTAACTCTTTAACTGGGGTGTAAAAACTATTTCTATCTTTAGTAAAAAATAAATAAAAATACTAGCTGAGCATCTGCACTATAAATTGTGTTTGCTGTATTAAAGTCAATACAGTTTTCACTAGGTAAAAACCTGCCTTGCAGAGTACAATTCTGCTCTTACTTTTCAATCACTGTACCTCCATCAAATAATTATTTAGAAATAACAGACATGTTAGGTTGTTTGTGGTCCTTTCTTCCTACTATAGTGTCCGTACCAGCTGCCATCCTTTCTGAAGATGTTGCACAGCAGAAAAAAACTCGGTACCATTCCTGTCTGAAATGGGTAACGTTGTATAAAATTGGGTTGACAGCAGAATTGGCAAAAGTGAAGGCCATTATCCAGAAAAAAAATGTTGGCAAAATGTTCAAATCCTGCTTGAAGTTCTGAACTAAAATTAAGAGAATAGTGATGATTATTGGGCTCCACATGATGAAGAAAGAGATCATCAACACAAACAGAGTTCGAAATAGTTTGTAATCTTGTTGGGAAACTTGAATCTGATGTTGTTCCGAGTAGGCTAAACCAGCATTTAATCTTCTTCTTGATGCTTTTGTAATCTGCATTGAGAAAACAAAATGATTTTAATTGAAACAGGAGAATTCTCAATAGGTTTTAAAAGCTGCTGAAGTAAATGTTGGCATATCATATCCCTACCCCATGAAATGATCATTAAAAAAAACATTACAGAGTTCCATCTTTATTGCCCCTCAATGATTCCATTTCAAATGTGTTCAATTTACCAGCATAAAGATATTGTCCTAAGTGCCAGCTGTGAAGCTCAACATCAATCTGGTAGTTAAGATTGGTTCTTCTTCCCCCACCCCCCATGTTTCATCACCAGCAATAAATACTTTGCAGGCCAAATTAAGGCCTTAATTACCCTGGAAATCCCATTACCTTCAAATTATGACTTGGGTTATGACATCTGTGTAAACCCATTGATGGTTTTTCTTGTTGTTTTTTTACACGTGTGTAAATGGGAAACTAGCTAATGATCCTGTCGATGCACAAGAAGGTACAGAATCCAGTTCATTTGTGTAGCCATGTTGGCTCTGCAGGGTAAAAAAGTAGAAGCAGTTTCTTTTAGTCAGCAAATCTGACACACTAAGGTAACACATCTGCTGAGTGGGCAGAGCCATTTTTGCACAGTTACTTTTCAGAATAGAGCTGCACTTCAGGATTCCAGGCTTAAATGAAAAATGTGGATCCAACTGTTAATGCCTGAAGCATGTAGCTGTTTGAATCCAGAGTCCATGTTTATCCTATTGTAAAGGTTAGATGCTTTCAAAATTTGGTTCTCAGTTCAGATTCTATCACTTCTTACCAAGTGTTTCAGTTTAAGACTTGGGCCAAGCCCATCCCTATATGTTTTTTTCAGTAGCTTGGTACATAAATTAAGCTATCTTGTCAGAGCTATTCTCTTCTTCTTGTCCTTTGAACATACATTAACCAATGACTTCTCTGTCACTAGTAGTAGGGCACTGGCAGTACCCTTTGTCTCTGCTTTTTCACCACTAGCATGCTGTAAGGTGTTGGTAATGTTGGCCTGTAAATGCAGGCTATACTTCTGTTTTCCTTATAATTGCTTTAAATCAGTGATGTGCACACACCCAATGCTGATTGATGAAGCACTGCAGTATTAATTTTCTTTTGATCAGCTCCTCCACGAGCTGTGGAATGATTACAGTCAGGTTATTTCAAATGCCAGGATGCTATTTCATATAAAACAATGAACAAAACAATGAGGTG